CGCCTGCCCGTTGCGCGTGAGCAGCGCGCGGTGCTCGGCGTCGCGCTTCTCGTCCTCGGCGTTCATGGTCATGAAGCGCAGCACCACGAGGTTGAGGAAGGCGCCGATGACCGTGAGGCCCGTGAGGATGTAGACGAAGCTGAAGGCCACGTACTGCGGCTGCGTCTGCAGCGCCTGGTCCTTCTGCAGCGCCACGTAGTCGCCGAAGCCGATGGTGGTGAGCGTGATGAAGCAGTAGTAGTAGGCCTGGAAGAAGGTCCAGTGCTCGTAGTAGGAGAAGGCGGCCGCGCCGATGCACAGCGTGCTGATGCACGAGAAGAAGCCGATGAGCACCATGTTGGCCATGGACACGTCGGCGCGCCTCATGCCCAGCCCCTTCTTGGTGCGGTGCAGCAGGTACTTCACGAAGGTGTTGATGCGCTCGCCTAGGCTCTGGAACATGACGAGCGTCAGCGGGATGCCCAACAGCGCGTAGAACATGCAGAACACCTTCCCGCCATCCGTGCTGGGCGCCGCGTGGCCGTAGCCTGGGGTGGGGGGCAAAGAGGAAAGAAAGCTCAGGTCGTGGGCTCGGCTGCCCTTCCCGCAACTCCCCGCTCTCTGCCGCCGCCGCCCGCCCTGCTCTCAGATTCTGGCCACCTGCTAGCCGCATGGATGACTGTAGATGGTATGTCCTCAAGCGAAGTGCTGCTAGCCCCTCTGCTTATACTTTATTCTTTACCCTTGTGAAAATTCTCTAAGGTCCGGGAGACCACAGGAGGGCGGAGGGGAGGAGGAAGAGAGCAAAGAAGGGCTTGGGCGTCCCCACCCCCAGCCAGTCCTGGGGCTTTGGGGCTCGGCTCAAGGGGAGTCCCTCTGGGACATGGCGGTAGAGTCAATGGTGTGACGCTTTGCCTGGGCATGCCTACACAGTAGGGTATGCTGGGCCCCTCTAGGGTTTCCCGTATGGGCTCCAATAAATTTCTAACCTTTTGCTTAAAAAAAAGGGGGGGGGGCTTGGGAGGCGGAGTCACTCTCCTAAGGCCTGCGAGCCATGCCCAGGAGCCTGGGCGGCTAGGGGATAAGCTTTGGGCTGCTATTCAAAAACCACCGTTCAGTGAGAGGAAAACGGGTCTTTTCGCTTTGGAAAAGAATCTGTCTCAGCAACTCCCGGGGGCAGTTTGCTGTGAGCTAGGATGGACTCGATGCTAGTGAGCTTGGTCTGTCAGGCTTCACAGACTGGACCGTCTGGTGCGTACAGGTCTACGCAGTGAACAGACTGGCTGCTGGAGACCAGCTAGAAGCCCAGGGGATTGTGGGAGGCTGGCTTATCAGCTGGGGCACATGGGTTCTTGTCCTCCGTCTGTGGGCTTTGGACATATTCTTGGTCCTCTCTGGACCTCAGTTTCTGGAGCTGCCTGGGTGTTGTGGGGTGCGGGGAGCAGGGTGGCCAACTTCCTGTGGGTCAGTATGGAGGGAGTGAAAGTGAGGCCTGGATGGCTCCCCAATTTCTCTGCTGCCACCCAGAGCTGATGGGGCATAGTTGGCAGCTGGCCGTAGGGTGGCTTGCCCATTACTGCCTGAGATGGAGAAGGGAGACAGTGCCCCCTTCTCCCTCTCCTAAGTATGTGAGTAATGCACCAGGGTCCTGAGTCCGTAGACTCACCTTTGCCTGGCCCCAAAGTGAGGTCTGCCCCATGGGGATGTGGTTATCCCAGAACCCTGGCATCCTTTGATTTGTGTGACTCCCACCAGTCAGACACTCTGTCCCCCTCACCCCCCTATGACCCACCAGCCCACACTGAGCCAGGACCCAGGCCGCAGCAAAGCCTCCCTCCGAGCCAGCTACTAAATGGCCTTAAGCCTGCAATTCTGCTCGTCAGTCTGGTAGGAGCAAGACCTTGGATGGGAACTCAGGAGCTCTGGCCCTGTCACTCATGGCTGAGCGACCTTGAGAGAGTTACTCTCCCCAGCTGAGCTCTTGTGTCCTCATTTGCATCCCGAGGTGTACTAACCCCGCTACTGTCACCACCCAGCGGTTGAGATACTTAGTACTTTGGTTAATAAGAAGAAGGCCAACAAGACAACTGGGGCAACCTTTCCCTGTTTTCTCCGTATCAAAGCATAGCCTGATGCTGCTTCTTCCAGGCAGCCTCCCCGGGTTTCTCATAGCCCTGAGTGATCTCATAGCCTGATTTGAGTGAGACGCAGAGTGCTGAGCACCAATATCACCCCCCACGCCCTCTACAAGCATACATATAGACAAACACTGCCTGCAAGGTGGGGAGGGTCACTGTGGTCCTTGTGCTCCTCTCTGGCTTGCACCCTCGCATGACCAGCCATGCCAAGGGACCCAAAAAATGTGTGAGTGAAGGGCATGGCAGAATGTACCATACACGTTGCTGCTGGCTCGGAGTTCACCACTTGAGGACCGTGGACTAGCCAGTCATTTTTTTTTAGAAGCTTCTTTGAGACTTAGTTGCTTAGTCTGTAAAATGGGGCTAATACCTAGCACCAGCTCCACGGGTCTTTGGGGAGGAGGAAGTCAGATCCTGCGTGGGGTACACTTCGCTCAGAGGCCGGCACAGACTGCAAGCTCACTAGCAGCTCCTTGGGATTGGCAGTGAGTAATGTGCTGGATTTCCTTCCCACTTCCAACTGAGCACCCCGTGCCGGATTTCCTTCCCACTTCCAACCGAGCACCCCGTCGTGGGAGCATTTCCAGTGACGCTGGTATCTCTGCCGTTTCAGCCTTAAAGCTCAGAGGTCTGGGGACAGCTGCTTGGGGGGTGTGTGTGTGTGGTGGGGAGGCTGCCCTTGGAACAGGCTCCCTGGTCCTGACCACAGGATGGGACTGGTGACTGTCACCTCTTGCTGTGTAACTGTTCAGCCACCCTGCCTGGCTCATCCACTCCCCAGCGGGGTGAGAACAGGTTGTGTCCACCAGCTCAGCCCAGGCAGCCAGACCACAACTCACCTGGACAGCTGGGAAGGCCTGGAGCCAGGGCCTCCACTCCTGCCCTTCCCTGGTCCCCGGGGCCACACTGCACGGGTGTGGGGGAGGGCATGGTACTGTGGCCCGGGGCTGGACAGGGAGTTGGGCTATGGCTTGTCCATGGGTTGGCTGTAAGTCCCTCTCCTTCTCTGGGCCTCATTTCCCTGGCCTAGCCTGCACGCAGGGGGTGGGGGGTGAGCGGGGAGTAGGGGTGTGGGGGTGGTTTGAGAGCGATCCCTCCCCACCCTGGCTGTCTGCTGGAGCTGCTGTGGAGAGCCAGGGAGAGCCAGCGGGCCGAGAACGTGCTGCCATACTGTATCTGCTCAGTAGCCGCAGAAGCGCTGGGGTCCCGCAGGGGAGGGCAGTCCCTAGACTGGGATGGTCTCCATGGAGTTAGGCAGCCTCCTCCCACCATGGGGGCGAAGGACCCCTTCTCCACCGCCACCTTGCCCTGCGGTCCTTTATAGGCTGTGACTTCTCCCAGATGCACCTCTTAGGAAAACGCAGGGCCTGCTGGCATCACTGCCCATAGCAGGCCACCCACCAGTCCCCCCAACCCCCCACCCCCCTGCTTCAAGGCGCAACAAATCAGGGTGGGAATCCCTCTTCTCTGGTTGGGCCCCTCAGCCACCACACGGGGTGCCCCACCCTCCCCCTCACACCTGCAGGGCTTTCCTTACACTGCCCTCCTGCCCTGCTCTCCCAGCCCCTGGGTGCCCTCAGGCCCAGCTTCAGGGCCCTGACCCTTCCCTACCTCCCAGTTGGCAGTGAGGACTTTGTCCTTCCCCTGACTTTTGAAGTGACACATCCAGGCTGCACGGCAGGCGCCTGGCAGGAGCAGAGCCAGCCCCTGCCCCCACGGCATGGCTCTATCGAGGGCGGCCCCTGCCCAGACAGACCTTATTCTTGGGCTCAGACGCTCCACCGTCTGCCCTCAGCTTTCTCCCTCACCCACAGGTTTAATCACGATGTTGCCTTCTATTAGATCTGTCTTCAGCTTGATCTTCGCAAAATTCCCACCGGATCAGGAGCATGACCTCATTTTACAGGTGGGGTCGTGGAGAGATCTCTGGAACCAGCCAGGGTCACACAGGGCACATGACAATGGGTCTGGGGTGTCAGCCTTGGACTTTCCAACTCGGCACTCAACCCGATGCACCGCAGCCAATTTGTGCGCCCGGGAAGGGTGGCCAGCAGAGGAAGCTGGATGTGGCGAGGCGAGCCCTCTGTGTGGAGCCTCACCCATGGCCTGCCCTGCGTTGGAGGTGGGAGAAGGGGCAAGGGAAGTGGATGCCTGGGGAGGCAGATGTTTCTAGGTCAGCATGCCTGCCCCTTCTTCTGTCCCCTTGTCACTGGGTGAAGGGGTAAGGGAGCTGTGAGGACCTGTTGACGTCAGTGCCCAGCTAGGAAGGGTGCCATCTAGGGTCAAGGCATTCCCAGGGGACCCTGAAATTCCTGGGAAGTAATTGGGGATTTGGCAAGGCCTGCCTGCCTGCCCACAGACCCCCTGCCTTCCTGGTCTTTGACTGCATCAGATTGGAGTTTATGAGCATGAGAGGGGGGAAGGTGTGCAAACCTGCGGCCCCCCCCCCTCCCCGCCCCCGTGTTCTCCCTGCTGCCCAGGGCTGCCTGTCGCTGCCCTTGGGTGCCACTGACGCAGAGGCTGCTGTCCTTTGGGGAGCTCCTCTCATAATACATGCTGACCAGCCAGAATGCGTGCCCTGATCCGAGACTCCAGCCAGTGCCGCTCAGAGTCCTGACCAGGCCTTCCCGCTGAGCCGGCTGTCTCCCCGATTCTCTTCCTGCCTTGCCCTGAAGTCGCCGTCTGCTTCAGGGCGCTCAGAACCAGACAGGCTCTTAGGCCTAGGGTTCACATCGTGCGGATGAGGACACGGAGGCCCAAGGAAGGAGAGTGTCCTCAAGGCCACACAGCGGTAAATGGCAGGGCCAGTACTGGAACCCAGGATGCCCTGGTTCTGAAACGAATGCTCTGTCACTGGCCAATATAGCTGTTTACTCAGCCAGGCCCAGCAGCTTGGGAGCGTCTCACAGAGATGACTCTGGGAGCTGGTTGGAGACACAGAATTCAACCCGGGAAGCTGCAAGGGAAGATGACAGCTGGCCATGGGGGTGGGGTGAGGGGAAGCTGGGGCCTCTGGGTCTCAGTTCTCTTCTCCATTCCTTCTAGAATCACCAAGGAGCTGAGAGACTGGGTCTCTTGGCTTGTCTTTTTCGCTGCCTGGTCATTCTGTCCACATGGCTTGTTGCCTGCTAAGGCAAGCACCATGGGCCACTCTATGCCCTCTATGCCTTGGCAGGATGAGACTTGGCTGCCCGCCACACACTGGCCTCCCATGCCCGCCTGACCTCCTACCCCTGGCCTAGCTGGTCACGAGGGAAGAACACTGGCCGAAGTCTTGGGTGGAGGAAAGAGCACGAGGCCAGGAGGCAGGCGACCTGGGGGTCTGACCCGGCCTGGGCCACGACCATTTGTGCTTAGCAAGTCCCTTCTTTCTGCCTCAGTTGTCCTCAACTGAGGCCTGGGGAGACAGGAAA